GTCAGTTGTTCGGTCACTTAGCCACCTCTAGAGCCACCACGGTGACCCCCAGGAAATCCTCCTCGATAGCCACCACGAAATCCCCCTCGACCAACCAGGGCACTGTTGTAATCACAAATTTGAGAAGCCTGAAGATTCTCATTCCTAAGAACACGGGCAAATGTTTCTTGAAGATAAGAAATAGCAGATTCATTCAAGAACTAAAATCTGATAAAGTCAAGTTCTGGAAACTGATAACAACCACTTGTTCCCTCTGAGTCTGCATGGCTTTGACATCAGCACTTAATGGAAAAAGAGAGTTAAGCTCCTCATACACTTTCTTGAACTCCATGACATACGTAGTGAGTGATCGGTGCTGTTGTTTTCCACGATGAAAGGACTTACAAACACTATAGATTCGAGAGATGTTACTTTGTCCAGAATACAAAAAATCAAGATAATCCATAAGTTCCTTCACATATTCACAGTGACTAACCAGAGACGAAACAAAAGGCTCAATAGTGTTTATAATCAAGTACAAACGAGCATCACTTTGGAACCATGAATCAAAACTGTTACCTTTAGGAGGATCCGATGTGAGATGAGAAGCCATTCCCATGCTCCGGAAATAGATACGAATAGTTTTGCTCCACTCAAAGTAGTTTGAGAGATTAAGCTTGTTGTCGGTGAGCTTAACATTTACTGGAAGCATCTCGGGTACACGTAAACTACTGTTACTGTCAGATGTATTGTCTTCTCCGGTCATCTTCCAATAAATCACGAACCAGAAGAGAGAACGTAGAACTTAGGATGAAGGATAGCAAACCAGAAAGCGAATGACGCACTCACAAGGTGCTAAATAGCCAACGAACAGAGATGAGGATAATCGCACTCACAGGATGACAAAGAAATCGACGAGCAGAAAACTTCCGACCCAAGGAAACTTGTTGATCAAGAAAAAAAAAAGATGAACAAAAATTTCGATCCAAGAAAAAAAACGTACCAAAAAATTTCGATCTGCGAAACTAGGGATTGTTACAAAGCCGAGCTCTGATACCATGTAGAATCTTTGTTTATTTCACATATCTCAAAAGAGAGAGGTACAAAGGCTATATATACATAAGGAATATGAGAAGAAAAGGAAAGGATTCCTAAGATATTCACAGCAGCAAATTACAAGGAGATATTACCCATAATCTCCAATTCCTATTTTACAATGATATCGAGTATCTTTAAGGATATTGAGTATCTTAACATGTTCAAAATTAGTCTCAGGTTTGGTAGTATTCTGGTGAAGGGTGTGATAACTCTAGGTTTTCTTGATTTTTGGGATTTTCTAGGTTAAGTATTTGGATATTTGGTGATTGCAGGGATGTTGGGATGACAGGTTCCCAACTTAGCTGATTTTCCACAACAATCGGGGACAGGACTCTCCCCCTGAACCGGATTTGTGGTGAAATAAGGTTGGTCTTCTATAAAGGAAACAACTTTTGAGATGAAATAGTGATGCTTGGTTGGTGAATAGCATTGATAGCCCTTTTGGGTAGAAGAGCATCCGACAAACACACACTTATGGGATTTTAAGTTAAGTTTACTTTGGTTTGGTGAGTGATTATGGATAAATGTCGTGCAACTGAAAACCCTAAATTCGAGTTCAGTGAAGAATCGTGCAACCAAAAACACCTTGTAAGCACAGTTAGGGGTGTTTCATGACTGAGAACTCTGGATGGCATTCTATTGACAAGAAAGCATGAGGTTAGGATTGCATCCTCCCAATATTGGTGTGGAGTGTTTGACTAAAACATTAGAGCCCTAGAAACCCTTAAGAGATGTCTGTTTTTGCGTTCAAATACATCATTTTGCTAAGGGGTATTCACATACGAACTTTGATGAATAATGTCATGAGTTTAGGTAAATGTATTTAAAGCAGAGTTAAAATATTTTGTGCAATTATCGGATTGTAGTACCTGAATAGGTGCTCCAAATTGGGTTTTAATCATTTGATAAAAGGTTTCAAACACAACACAAGTTTTAAAAGGTAAACCCAACTCATACATGAATGATAATCTATGAAAAACCACCTTTTACTAATCAAAGACGTTACACGAGAAGGACCCCAAATATCACTATGAACAAGAGCAAAAGGTTTCGACGCAGAATACAGTGAAGGGGTATATGAAGTTTTGGCGCGTTTTGCTAGTTGAGAACTCTCAGTGAAAATTATAGAGGGTTTAAATAGACTAGGAAATAAATGCCTAAGGTATGAAAAACTTAGGGTGAACAAGGCGCGATGAAGTAGGAGAATTTTTTGTTGTTTGGAGTTGCTATCTACTTGGCACCATGAATTTGGATGAAGTTGCAGGTAGTAATAGAGACCCGAGTATTCCTAGGCACGTTCAATCATCCGGCCCGATGTCGAGTCCTGAAACAAAAAATAGATGTGTCAAATATGGCTTTGCATTGGTTTGCAGTTGTCAGTTTGTTAACAGATACTAGGTTGCATGCAAACTGTGGTTCGTGAAGAACGTTATCTACTCAGAATTCTGGGCTGAGGATAATGAACCCGATTACCAGTATTGGGGAAAGGGTACCATCGGGGATTCGGACCATCCGTGGAGTGCAAAAAGTGGTATGAGAACAAAAACAACTTATCCCGTCATGTGGTCGGAGCTCCTGAGTCGATAATCCAGGGTCTTGAGTTTGTAAGGGTTCTGACCAGAGAAGGAAACCATGGCAATACCTGTATGCGCTGTGGGGTTGCCTGATAACAACTTCTCGAGCTATTCAAGTTGAGCTGGTGAGACTGACTGTGGTTGACCTGTGGTGGGAGCTGCAGCGGAGGCTTTTCCATCAGTCAGGTTTCTTTGTCTTTGAGGTACCCAATCTGCTTGCTTTCCATGGAGCTTCTAGCATGTCTTTGGCGTGGTATGGGCTTTGGCAGTGATCACACCATTGAGAATTGCAGCGGGTTTTTTTTTATCCACATCCTTGGACGCCATTGCTGAAGATTCCGGTGTGTTTTCTTGTTTGTTGAACATGGTCAGTCGTCTGGTTTCTTCCCTATGAATTTCACCAAAGATATCGTCAATGTTGGGAAGGAGTTTTTCGGGAGGAGTCGACCTCTTACCTCATGGTAGGAAGGTTAAGTCGCAAGAAAGTCGTAGATTCTCTCCCGTGCAACTAGTCGACGGTAGGTTAAAGCATCCTCAGTGTCAAACCAAGTTGGTTTGATGAATAGATTGAGTTCTTGCCAAACTCTTTTCAGAGATGTATAATAGGTTATAATCAATCCTTCTTCATATTGAATCTGAAGGCTCGAGTCCTCAGAGAGAACATCTAGGATGAGTCTTCCAAGTCGGAATAAGCCCGTTCTACTGCATCCCATATAGCTTTAGCCATAGTGTACAAAAGGTAAATTTCTACAATTGAATCCTCCATTGAGTTGATTAGCCATTGTCATGACCATTGAGTTCTGAGAAGTAGAATAGGTAGGATCGGTTTCCTTGGGGTTGAGGGAGAAAACCATTCAGAAAGCCGATTTTTCCTTTTCAACGAATCATCATTTAGATAGATCGCGACCATGGCAGAAAATTGTGACCGTTCAGTTTGAATGACGTGATTTGCAATGGGGCAGAAAAATCTGGTATTGTAGGGTTGGTTCGGTTGTTATTGGTTTCTGATACGTCTAATTGTGCTTCAGAAACAAAGGCATTGCCGAGATCCATATTGAGAGTATTGTTCACGACAGAAACAATGTTCACACCAGAGTTCTTTAAGAAAAAAGAATCGAGAAAAGAAGGATAGAGAAAAAAAATCAAAGCCTCTTAGACATCCGGTACCATAAAAGCTTTGAGAGAATTATAGTAGGTGGAAGCTTAATCGTATATTTCACTCTTATGAAAAACAAAATACAAGGAAACCTATTAATAACCAAGCTACCACGGTACCACCTAAGAAAAAGGAAACTAAGAAACAGACTATAACTAGGAGACCCTTTTTAAAATATTTACATAATAAGGGAACTCCGAATTCAGAGCTGATTGATCCCAATACCCCTTTTCCTAGACCTAATCGATATCCTAATATCCTATATCGTTTACAGAATCACAATAGCAAACAATATTGTCTATCCAACCCTAAACTTGTGATCACCGTGCATTTAACCACTGGATATCTTGGAAAGATAGTGAGAAAAAAGTTGTGTTCATCATTGTTATCAGCTCTATGACAACGGTATTAGTTTAGCCACTACACTATCAAGTAGTATAATGTGTTGATCACCCTACTACTAAAATTATGTACTTGGCCATGGCAACTTACTTTTCAACCACTTCTTACATATCAATCCTATTTTCCGGCCAAAGGGTGGGAAAAAAATGATTGCACCATGAGGTGAAGTGGTGAAAGAAATAATTTTAGTACTAGAGAGTCGAAAAATGTTGACAAAATAGCACAAAGAACAAGTATAGATTTATCCAACAAACATCTTTTTAATTTCAAAGCGTCCCATATGTGCAGTTTGTCCCAAGTTTAAACATATCAATGATGCAGCACAAGAAAACTAAACATAGAACATTAAAGGTAGGACTAGCCTTTTGATACAAATGCTATCAATTTGGGATGGCAGAATGATTTCTGTCTTTAACTATTAGCTGCTTTAATAATTGCCTAATTACATCTTTATATCTTCTTTGAAATATAAAAACCGCATGTAATATCCTTTACAAAGACATCATTACCATCATATACGAAGTGTTCTTGAAACAGTGACACCGTCTTTGCTTCTCTTGACAGTCATAAAAGGTCACTTGATTTCTATTAGTGAAGAGACTGACCAATTTCTTAATTGACTAGCACTTGCCAAATCATCCAACATGTTAAATGCACAAGTAAGCTCAATCAGATTTATCAGTAATCTAGATGAAAGTGAAAACACTAGTGACCAAACAAATAGATAACATAAAAGCAGCATACTAAAGATATAGCTTGTTATCACAAAGCATGATAACCATTTGACTTACAGGGATGGAGAATAGCAAGGAGGCAATGGACCAATACAGGATCTGTTTATTTTACTTATCAGTCCGGCCATGTCCTGAAACCAATATACAATGCAACAGAAAACTAAATTATCTGAAGAGAATCAAGAATCTATCTACAGATAGCTGAAAATATTACTTTGCAATAGTAGTACTAGTATTCAAATGCAGTGCAAAACAACTATAAATGTAAAGCAGTTTCAAGGCAACAAAGCCATGAAACCTTGATGAGATGGTTTTTAAATAAAAGACTCAATAAGCACAAATGTAATACTTAATTTGCATCCTGGAACCTTCACTAATGAGGGGAAAAGGACAACTAAAGGCAAACAAACTACATCAGATGAAAATTGCATTGTTATATCCTGGAACTTTGACAAACACATGATGCAATTTTGTATCCTGGAACTTTCATAGGCCGAATCTTTCCCTTGGCTGTGGTTTCTCTCTGGTTTGTACAAATTAAAAAAAATAACTAACGTAACTGACCATTCAACCAACACAGTTGGCAAGAGAAACTAGACACTCGAATAAAAATAAAAATGTGTAACTACTCTAACCAGTAATTGTCTTCAATAAGCAAGTAGATAATAATAGAATAAAATAAAGATACATGCATAAATATATTATTCTGTAACTTTCAATGCACTGAAGCTCAAGCTAAATATTCACCCCCACTGGTCCACCAGTATGTGGGTTTGCTTATATTGCCATCACAGTTGACGGAAGACGTGGAATTGATCGTTGAGCCTAAGGCAGTGTTAGTAGTGCGACACCTATATTGCGATCATAGTTGACAGAAGACATGAAACTGGTAGCTGAGCCTAAGGCAGTGTTAGCAGTGCGACAGAACAAAGTACTGATCAACTAGAGGGATTTGGACGAATTTGAGGCCTCTTGGAAGGAATTTACTCCTATCAATGATCAGTTTCCAGATTTCCAACTTATGGACAAGGTGGCTCTTGCGAGGTGGGTATTGGTCAACCCGTTGTGTGATTCACTTTCGTGTAGAAAGAAATAATAGGTAGTATAAGTAAGCATAATTCGGTAATTGTTGAGGATCTATGAATATAGAAATACATGGTAGAGTTGATGGGAGAGGATATGTGATAATTGTCTTGTGGCTTTGCCATCGAGAGACCTCTAGCAATCTCAAAATGCTGGAAATTTTGAACTAAATGCTATAAAAAATCTTCTGACCAAGCTCCTTCCATTGACCCGTTTTTTTTAATTAACCTGGATATCCAACCCGCTATGCAAGCCGACTAATCTCAGGGCGACCACCCGCTTCGCGGATAGCCCGGAGTCACCACATTTGAACCTCCGTGGCCAGTCCACAAGGGGAAATACTGTCAGAAATTATCCGACCAAGTTCCTTCTGTTGACCAACCTTTTCCCAGATCGATTAGTGTTATCAGCCAACCTAGTGCCCATAAAGGCCAATGAGTCTCGTCCAACATATACCTTCATCTAAGTACCCACTGGGACCTCTAAGACGCCAACACTCCTTTGACTAAGAGCTTGTGGGACATGCACAAAGTGAGATCCCAACGCATGATCTCATTCATTAATGATGTAGAGTCTAAACAAACACACTCTTATAATTTTATTTGTCAAAACACCTGCTAACTTAAGCATCAAAGTCTTTTCCATAGAGAACCCCCATTCCCCGGGCCTTTCAAGGTGCAAGTACCATTTTGCCGAATTTTGGTCAATAATAGTTCATTCTCATAGCTCGATGTTCCAGGAGGGTTGAGTAATTTCTTTCGGCATCAATAGGTTTAGAAAAATAATAAATGAGATAGGTTTCAAGAGCTTTGCACCAAAGAACACCAACATCACTTGACCATGGCAACTAAGATAACACAAGGCATCTTACCCATCAAGGATAATTGTTTCACACAATCAAAGAAAAAGCTATTAGCTACTTCTATATTTTTATTCAATCATCTAGTAATCATTTTTCAGAATTACCATCTGCAATGAAGCTAAAGACTAGCATAGAAAAACAAATAGTTGTTCTAACAATAAAGCTAAAGCAGAAAGCTAAACATAAAAAGTAGTCCCAACGATTATCCTAAATAATTAGGAAAATCAATAACTTCCCTAACAAACAACCAAAATATTGTTAGGAAATTATCACAATAATAAGTAGATTAAAGCCAGAAATGATGGCAAAACTACAATTTGCGCAAATCTTGTAAATCTACTCTCTCATGATCCTAAACTTTTGATAAAATGACAGTTCATTCACTATTTCGCCCTATGTGAGGTGCTATGCTGTTATATCGGTCAGAATACGAAATATCGGTCAGGACCGATATTCGATATATCGGTTATATCGGTGATATATCGGAAATATCGGTTAACATAATATTTCTTAGAATTATATATATATAATATGCATTAATTAGAGTTTAAAAATATAGTTTCAAAATTAAAACATCACATCATCTAAAGTGTTCAAAAACAAGCTAATCGCAAGCAATAGGTTCGGCATCCGAGTCAAAAGTCGAGGCTGGAGCAGAAAACTGAAGTCGAGGCTGGAGCTGTCGATTGAGCAGAAAACTCAGGGAGTCACCAAGGACCTCGAGGCTGGAGCTGTTGCTGTTGCTGACTTGCTGTCGATCGCGATTTTTACAGCATAGTTGCTGACTTGATGTCGATTGCTGACTTGCTGTTGTTGCTGTCGGTCGATTACTCGTTCGTTCGTGAAAAGATGAATTGTGAACTGAAGTCGAGTCGCAAAGATGAAAAGAAAGGGAATGGAAGCGAAGCAGACCGTTGGCGTGAAGGAGATGGTGGCCAGTTTTTTGAGACCTAACTTATCCAAAAAATCTAAGCCCATAAAATAAGAGAAGCCCAATAAATCTAAGCCCCTAAAATAAGAGAAGCCCAAAAAATTGTACCCTATAAAATATCGAGATATCGGTCGATATTTACTACAAAATATCGCTACATATCGGGAAAATATCTGACAATATCGCCGATATTATCGGGAACGATATTTTGGGCGATATTTAGGAAGCGATATTTTTCTTCCGGCCGATATACGATATATCGCCGATATATCGACGATATATCGCGATTTTTACAGCATAGGTGAGGTGTTGCACTAGTATCTATATAGGTCTTCATATTCAACATAATACCATGGTAAGATGAATATGCCAATAAATAAAGCATAAAACAGACCCTTAACAGAAAAAAAAGATACTAGAGGAAAAAATAAGGAATTTTCTGATAGGCCCAGTGACAATTGTCAAGAAATCTTGAGGTCCATATCTTCCTCTCTTACTCTCCACTACCAAGATACTCACATTTTCGATATAATTCTAATAGAGACTTACTTTCATGGAGTAGAGTAACATCTAATCGAATAATGTTTGAAATATGGCCTACATCAGGCGATCCTAACTAAAAAAAGACAGAGAAATGTTTTATCAAATTTACCACTATATTTCTCAAAGTCATCCATATTGTCTTTTTCTTTCCTTTCTAGACAAGTCCTTTAACTGGTAAAAATTTTAGGATTCATGAAGATGAACTTGGCGCAGTCAATCCCTATAAAAAGAAGAGAACATAAAAGAAGGTGGTATATACAGCGTCAACGTTTTAACTTTAACATTATTTTCGCGTTTATGCAGCCTGATGCTATATGTCTTCAGCCTTGGTTAAAACAATTACTTAATGTGGCTCACCACAAAGAAGATCAAAACTTTTGCTACAGAGGCTCTTGATGTCTTAACTAGTATGAAAGGAAGGGTTGAAAAGGTTCAAAAATATGCAGTATATAAATCAAATATAAGAGACAATGGCATATTTCCATCAAACAATTACAAAGAGACCCATCAGATTAAGGCCTTCAGATAATCAGCAGCACTTAAGCCTCTTGAGAACAGAGGCAGACATAGAGAAAGTAAACTGGTTCAAGAGGACTTACAAAAGCTTTAAATGCTGGCCGGTGAGCAGCCATCTCATACATACAGCAACCTAATTAACGTAGAAAAAATATTGCACACAAGTATAAGTAGAAAATGGAAATAATAAACATGTGGCTTGAAGTCTAGGCTCGAGTTTAAGGGTGGTCACTCCATGAAATCATCGTACAGACTGAGCACAAGGTAAATCAGGAACTTTACAAGCCACATCATGAGATGAACTATGTACTTATATCCATTTAAGATAGAAGCATGTGATGACAACAAGGGCTTTGCATCACCAGTTGCTGTTTGGTACACGACAAGGAAAAAGATCTAACTCGGCTCAAGGGAATGGCCTAGATTATACATTATCTATGCTCTGAAAATATAATAACTGAAAATCAAATACCTAGGGACCATATATCCGATTTGAAGCCATAAGGAATATCTGCAAGGAGTTCAGGACACATGTAATTTGGTGTCCCAACCACCTGGAATAAAGTAATTAAGTGTATATGAGCTAACAAGTTGCAATCAGTAACTATTAATCATATTCCTGCCCCAGAATAAATACAAAAATTTCCTGCTTGGGATATACCAAAGTAAATATGACACTGCCAATTCTTGACAATGTTTAAGTAAAAAAGTTTATCTATTTGCCCTTCAGTAACCATTACAAAGCATTGGTAGCATCAATGTAGGTTCACAAATGTTAAGGGATATTTTATATATTGTGCTATGAGAAACACTTCTGTTAGACAAAAGTCAACTAATGAATTTATTATGGCATAGGGGGATTACTATGTTGTTAATATGCATATATGAATCTATGTAGAGGTACAAATGTATGTATACATTTACATATACATACAAGTGTACGAAACTTGATCTATGGCTTGTCATATTTCATAAGCATGTAATTCAATTGGATATAGATAGACAATGGTGGAGAAGCACATATATATAATATAAAGAACGTACCGAAGAAGCCAAGTCATCAGCCTTCAAAGTCTTAGCAAGTCCAAAGTCCCCTAAATCAAAAGAAAATTTACTCAAATATAATTAATTGTTGCCTCAAATTAAAAGGGTAAAACAATATCTACTGAAGAAAACAGTTATAAATCACCTAGACGAACATCTTGATCTTTCGTAAGGAAAATGTTCGAACACTGGAGATATAATGCTAGAAGGATCAGTTAAAAGGGATTAAAAAACAAAATTTAAGCATCAAAAATATATTATTACATACTTTCAAGTCCCTGTGTAGAACATAATTCGAATGCAAATATTCAACAGCCAATAATATCTGAGTAAACCACTTGCAGAGTTTCTGTAAGGCCAAGATTATCAAGAGTCAGAATTCTGGTGAGTTTCACCATGGGGTCTAGAGCAAGCACGTAGGAAATGATTAAAACATGGAAGATGGAACAAGGATAATGAGTCATTTATGAAAAAGTTAAACTCCGTCTCATACATGAAAAAGAATGAGTATGTAAAGGTCATACCTCCTCCGGGAAGTATTGCCCAGTTGATTTTTTCATCAATTCAGCTCTGCTCATGAGTGCCTTTATTAGCCAGGTGAAACCTACGATATGATTAACATACAATTGGAGGGAACTAGAGACTTACATGTCGCCACCTTCGCAGTATCCGGTAACAATGCAAACATAGCAACCCTACATCCGATGATAGAGTGGCCCAATCAAGGAAAAAGTTGCAACTCAACAAATCTCAGATCAAATAACATTAAACTAATAGGATCCAGGAATCTCCAATAAGACTTGTATCTAACCTTCTCAACCCACGCTTCCTTGAACTCAACAATATACGGGTGCTGAATCCGCGCAATTAGAGCCATCTAAACATCAAATGCATTTAGATAAGTTGACACTCATTTTCATTCAAATAAATGTACAACAATCACGAACAAGCTTTAAAGATGGCCTAATAAGAAGTCAACATAGGTACAAATATCAAGGAAATAACCTCTTGATGGGCAGATCTTCTGCAACGTTCAGTCTGTCTAGCAAGACGAATCTTCTTTAAAACATACCTGCATTGTTAAAAAAACATAAAGATCGAATTAACATCAAACTCAAATACATAAGATAAGAGACTACATATATATACAGTGTAAAACAAGATTGATACTTGGTTTTTTCCAATTTATGATTAACGAGAATGGCGGCACCAAAAGCACCCCGGCCGATTTGCTCCATCATCTCATACTGATCCATTTTTGACTCCATCACTCCCTGATCCAATGCTCTATTATTTATCTCAACGATACTATTGGGTATCAGACTCACATGACTTATTTCAACAAACTTGAGTACAATTTGCAGAAAGCGAGAATGCCCTAATAATCATCGCATCTGCTGCCTGCTATGAGTAGTTGGATTCATTTTTGGGGGAGATGGCGATGAATTAGGTTTACTATCCTGCTTAAACTGAGTTTAGATCGAAGAAGAACACCCAGATGTTGGTATCAGATTCGGATCAGGTCAAAATTTTGCCTTTAATAGCACTCGAATTAAGTGTAGAGTCAAAATAAAGCACTCCATACAAGAACGAGGGAAATATACTTTGACCACCTGAGTCACACAACCTTGCAACAAAGAGTAGATTACATTTGGGAAATTTGAGTTTTTATGTTTAATGATGTCGTAAATAACAAAAATATGTTCAGCGACAAATAATGTCTAAATTTTAGTTTTTTTAACGGGTCTCAATAGGAACATCAATTTTTGATTGCTCCTAGATATTTTTTTATTAAACATACTCACCTACAAAACACTAATGGGTTGTTTACCAAATACTTGTCCGGTAAATGTTTATCTGTAAAATTTAACACTATTATTTACGTACTAGGTAAGATTTTAATCCACCAAAACGACATCGTATCAACAATTTACCCGGTAAGCGCTTACCGTGGTAAGAGTCGTCGCCCTCACTTACCGGGTAAGATTCATGGTCCTTGTTTCGCTCTTACCGGGTAAGATTTTTGGTCCTTACCATATTCATCCGGTAAGATAACATGACTTGGTAAGCATTTACCCGGATAAATATTTGGTAAACAGCCCTTAAACATGATTAATAGTCGTTTCTCATAGACAAACATTGGGCAATAGTTATTCCTCTTTATCAAGAACCCAATGTTTGCATACCCACGTTTCCATGTAAGATTAGGAGGTCATGGAAGAAGGTTAATTCAATTGTTTTTGTGTTCTATTGTGGGCACTTACAAAGCTTCAGTACTTATTTTCTTATCCGAATGAGGGAATCACAAAATCCTTGTGTATTGATGGGACGATTAAAGTGTACAAACTGCTTGGTTGACCCCCCCCCCCCCTTGTTTTCTTTTTCGAACTATATGAGCAAAGCTTGTTTGAACCCATAAAAATTGTACAATTCCATTCCATGTCTTCCCAGGGTAATAGTCTTTCCTCTTATGCAAATTGCACTAGTTTCCATGGGTATGTCTCCAAGGCCACGAGGATCCTTATAAGCCATGGATGATGTGTAACATCCAATTTCTTCTATGTCCAATTATTTGCTTAGTATATTTAATTATTGGGTTAAACATAATTTATGATTTAGTGGGAGTTTGGGTCTAAAATTTTAGAATTTTATTTCTTAAGAATATATTAGAGGATGTGGAAAATATCACGTCAAATGGATACGTAAAACTGATTTTCTTGGGAGATATTTTTTGGAATATTTTTGTTGGATGTTATAGATTATCTCTTTATGATCGTGTAGGCGAAAACCTTATAGAAAACGGAGGTCCGAGCGAAAAGTTATGAATAWTTTAAGTGTTGATGGTTAAAATGGGTTCCTAGCCGGGCCAACCCGGCCCAACTCGAGTTTTAGCATTATAAATTGGAGTTTTGGCCCATTTTTTATATCATCTAAGTCCAGAACTCACACACACACTAGAGGTGCGATTTTCACACACATAGGCTTGATTCAACTCAAATCAAAGAGGAACTACAAGATCTTTGAAGGATTTGATCATCAAGTAAGGTATAATCCATTCTTTGCACTTGTTCTTGGTGGATATTCTTGTTTTATGGATTGCATATTGAGATAGAGTTAGGRTTTCATATGGGTTTGAACTTAAGTGTATAAAATGAGTGCATTTTTGTGTTTTTGACATGAAATGGTCATTAGATTCAAGAGATTATCGAGATTTATGCAAGTTCATCATATGAACTTTGACTTGATTAAGTCAATGATTTGGGAGATAATGTAAATGATAAAATAAAGGTTGGATTTTGGTTGTTTATGTCAAATATGTTATATTAAGTTGAG